CAGCCTGAGTCTTCGGCAATCCCACCACGAAGTCCATGGAAATGCTCTTCCATTTCCATTCCGGAATCTCAAGAGGTTGAAGTTTACCAGACGGCTTCTGGTGTTCAATCTTTACCTTCTGGCAAATCAAGCATTTGAACTCATAAACAGATATGTCCTTTTTCATGCCCGGCCACCAATAATTCCTCTTCAAGTCCTGGTACATCTTTGTAGCACCAGGGTGGACAGTAAACTGGCCCTTATGAGCCTCTGTCATCACCTCCTCAGTCAAAGGTCCTCGAGGAACCACAATCCTCTTCTGGAAGGTCAACAAACCATCCTCATTCCAAGACACACCGTCTTGGTTCCTTACATAGTCTAGGCACTCTCTGCACTTGCGTCTCTTTGATCTTTCCCATGAGCTCAATTTCAACTTTCACGGTTTTCATCTCGAGAAGGGCACACCCAATAAAGAGGTCACTAATAGATCTCGAAACTTCTCGATATCAACAGAATCGTCATTCGATTCTCTGGGATCACCAGTCACTCTATCAATAGAGATGATATGACCCCACATACTCTATTCCTCACAAAACTTGGGTGAGTTTAGGTCCCATTCCATGACTCTAACCTCGACTTGACTTACAATTTCTATAATTCATACTTTTCATAATTTTTCGGGATACTTCATCGGTACGCATTTTTACCGAGTAGCAGAACCAGTATCTGCACTTTTCGTCTGAAAAGTGACTTTCAACATTCTTAATCACTTACCATAATTATTTAAGCCTTCTCATAATTATTAGGGTCAATTATGGAATTATCTCATTAATCACATAATTAATTAATTAATTTCCTAAATTAACGGTGCGGGTTCTTACAGATGGTGCCTTGGTTGATGTTCTGGGAACACTTCCTTGGATGAGAACCCGTAGGCTATATGCCGAGGCCAATAGGCCGAATGTTGCATGGCTTTGGCATTGACCATTTGATAAACCCTTGGTTTACCATGTTTTTAGGCTAATTTATACAAGAATTACATAGTGAATTGCATGGAAATTAGGGCTTTACATTATAAAATCATAAAGATTAGAATTCTTAGCTAACATGTTGTAATCTTGTCTATTTTGAAGTTATTTTGACATAAAATAATGCTTAATGGAGCAAAGGAACGAAAAGAGATGTTTGAATACCCAAGGAAGTCCAAAGAAAGCAAGTTACAAGTAATTCACAAGCTGATGGAGAGCGTTTTAGCGCCCAACATAGCGCTAAAACGCCCTAAAGAAGCAAAATAGCAAAAATCCACCAGAGGAGAGTGTTTTAGCGCCCAACAGAGCATTAAAATGCCCTGACAGCACAAAGTTCCTTTCGAAGAGAGCGTTTTAGCGCTAAGATGAGCGCTAAAACGCCCTAAGGCAGACAAGAATACACTAGGAGAGCTTTTTGGCGCTCTAATGAGCGCGAAAATGCTCTGATGCGTCAAAATTCAGGCCCAATTATTATCAATATCCAAATTAAGATTTGAATGAAGATTTGAAGGAGATTTGAATGGAAATTAAAAAGATATGTTCTCCTCTATAAATAAAGGGCCTTGGGACCAGATGATTATATATTAAACAACAGAGAGGCGTCTGAAGTAGCAGAAGGAGGAATCCTGTTGCAGAGCGTGGGAATACTGAGGAACCAAGTCAACATCACACTAATGGAGGCTTGGGGTTCTCTTTTCTTTATTATTGTTTTTCAAATCAGTATGCTAGGCTAAGTTTTTATATAGTTAGGGGTAGATGGAACCCAATTGAATCTTTATTTTATGAATCAAATTGTCTCTGAATTCTTCTCTTTTTATATTGGAATGAATTTATCTGCTTTTAATGCTTTCTATGAGTTTGCTACTTATAGATTGATTTAGGGGAATTGTATGACAATAGGGATGTTGGTGCATGAACCTTGACTTGATAAATTCATCATAATCCTTGTGATCTAGGGATAGACATAAGGCAATTGTGCAATCTTTAAATTCTTGATCTTAATGCATGCTTTCTTGGGGAATAATCGGGGAACTAGAGTTCTTTCAAAATCACATAGATTTAGGGTAACAAGGAATTGAGCCCTAATTAACTTAGAAAAAATTGATTGGCATTATATTAAGAGCAGATTCTTGACCGTTTAATTTATAGCATATAGAGGAGATTGGGGGAAGTCGAAACCCTAACTACGCTTGTTTTTAATTCTTAATCAATCATCATCTTTTTCAATTGTCTTTTTAATTCTGAATTTTTAAATTGCATGTTATTGCTTGTTTCAAATTCAATTCTCTTAAATCCAATTCTTGATTGTCCAACTAAATCATTGTTAGCGAACTAGTGCTTGAAAACCCAATGCTCGTGGGAACGATCTCGTACTCAGTACACTTTATTACTTTTATGACCGGTGTACTAGCCGAAGTTGCAATAAGTTTTTGGCGCTGTTGCCGGAGTTTAGATCTTTCAACTTTAGAAGTAGCTAAAAGCCTTTTAGATTGGATTTTTTATTTTTCTGCAATTTAAATTTTCTGTGTTTATATAATTTTATTCTATTTTATTTTTATTTTTATTTTTGATATTTTAAATTTTTAAATTTTTAAAAATTTTTATTTAATATTTTTATTTTTTTAATGTTTTTAAAATTTTTAATTTTTTTAAAAAAATGTTTAATTTTTTTTTAATATTTTATTTTTTTTTAATTTTAATTTTTTACTTTTTTAATTTTGAGTAAATACCATTTTTGGTCCCTAACAAAAAACATGGTCCCCACTTTAGTCCCTTACAAAAATAAATTAGTCAGTTAGTCCCTAACAAATTCAAAGTGGACCCATTTAGTTGAAATCGTGGTCCCACACAAATTCAAAAAAGACCCATATTAGTCCCTCAAAAAGACTAAAATGGGTCCACTTTGAATTTGTTAGGGACTAACTGACTAATTTATTTTTGTAAGGGACTAAAGTGGGGACCGTGTTTTTTTTAGGGATAAAAAATGATGTTTACTCGTTAAAATTAACTTTTACATTTTTTAATTTTTTTTTATTTAACTTTTTTAATTTTTTATTTTTAAAATTTTTATTTTATTTTTATAATCTTTTTTACTTTTTAATTTTAATTTTAATTTCTTTTCCTGCATTTTCTGCATTATATTATTTTTTGTTTAAATTTTCTATTTTCTATTTTCTGCATAATCTTTTACTCTTAGTTTATGCGAGGTACTATTAACCCACGATCTTTGCAGTTTGATCCTGAGATAGAAAAGACAGCCAGAAAACTCAGAAAAAGTGCAAAAGAAGCAAAAGCATCAAGCTCGACGGAACCAAAGGAAGAAGCCATGGCTGACAATGATCGTGTTCAGAATCTTCCAAGAACCTTGGGAGATTACATAACTCCAGCTCGAGTTCCTCAGACTTCAAGTATTGTTAGGCCAAACATGGATGCTAACAACTTCGAGCTCAATCTAGCTTTGGTGCAGTTAGTTCAAAAGGATCAATTTTTCGGAGGGAGCGCAGAAAACCCATATCTACATCTGGAGAATTTTCTGTTTTACTGTGATAGAATAAAGATGAATGAAGTGACTCATAATGCGATCTTGCTTCGGCTCTTCCCTCTCTCTCTAAAAGACGATGCCAGAAGTTGGCTACAGTCACTACCTCAAGGAAGCATCACCAACTGGGATGATCTAGCAGCCAAATTCGTAGCCCGATTCTTTTCATCTTCAAAACGGGCTAAGCTTAAGGCTGATATCTCTGCTTTTGAACAGAAAGAGAGAGAATCTCTTTACGAAGCATAGGAAAGGTTCAAGAGACTATTCAGGAAGTGTCCACAGCATGGGTTCGGAGCTTGGGAGAAAGGCCAAATTTTCTTTCAAGGGATGACGCCTAACACATGAACCTTAGTTAATGCTGCAGTTGGAGAATCTTTGAAGACCAAAACTCCAGAGCAGGCATTGGAGTTACTTGAATTATTAGCTTCTCAGGAATTTGATAATGCTCAAGTGCCATAAAGGAGAGCAGTGATCATGAAGCTTGACGGCTATGATGCGTTGTTGGCCAAGAATGAACAAATATTGCAAATAAATAAGAAACAACAAGCACAATTAGATGCTCTCACAAAGAAAATTGTCAATTCTCAAGTCTCTTCTGTTCATAATCCTCAAGTTACTTGTGGTATTTGTGCAGGTATTATGCTACTGAAGACTGCGATTTCATGAAGGCACCTGAGAATGCTGAAGTCAACGGAATCTGGTACGATCAAAAGAACCATAATAATCCTGGGAGGAACCAGTATGGGAATGACTACAATCAAGGGTGGAAGAATCAGAATCAGCATCCAGGGTTTAGTTACAAGTCTAATCATCAACTTAACCCTCCCATTCCATTGCAACCACATCCCCCACCACAAAGCAATACTTCTGAGTGGGAGAAAGCTTTTGCTCAACTCTCAAAGATCACCTCTGATTATATACAAGGTGCAAATGCTTCCAGAGAGGATACATCTTCTTTCATGCAAGAGACTAGATCAGCACTCTGGAATCAAGAAGTTTCCATAAGAAATCTGGAAACTCAGATTCACCAATTGTCAAGGCAATTTGCTGAGAGAGCTAAGGGTACCTTCCTGGGAGACATTGTCATTAATCCTAGAAAGCACTGCAATGCAATTACCACAAAAAGTGGGATAGTGATTCAGCCTATAGAAAAACAACCTGAAGAAAAGAAGAGAGATGTGGAGGCATCAGTTGAAGAATAGAATAAAGAAAAGGCAAAGGATACTATTGAAGTTGACAAGAGCAATCCTGAAAAAGTTGAAAGAAAATTATTTAAGTGGGAGAAGAAGAAAGCTTTAGAAAGGCAAGATAAGCCCTTAGATCTCTCACCATATGCTCGAATCCCTTATCCTCAGAGATTAAAGAAAGAGATTCAGAAGAACAAAAATTCAAAGTTTCTAGACATATTCAGGAGGTTGCAGATCAACATTCCTTTTATCGAAGCTTTAGAGAGCATGCCGAACTATGCAAGGTTCATGAAGGATCTATTATCAAGGAAGCGTAAGTTGCGGGAATATGAGACGGTAAATGTGACAGAAGAATGTAATGCTATCATCCAAAAGAAGTTACCTACCAAAGTCAAGGATCCAGGGAGCTTCAGCATTCCATGCACTATAGGAAAAGTGGAAGCGGACAACGTTTTATGTGATCTTGGAGATAGCATTAATGCCATGCCACTCTCCATGATGAAGAATCTGGGGATTACTGAAATGAAGCCCACAAGAACAATAGTACAACTGGCTGACCGCTCTTCAAAGCAAGCTTATGGCATCATTGAGGATATATTGGTAAAGGTTGACAAATTCATCATTCATGTCGATTTTATCATCCTTGATATAGAGGAAGATGCTACAATTCCAATGAACTTCGGAAGACCCTTCTTGGCAACTTCAGGAGTGCTGATTGATGTACTTAAGGGTGAGCTGATCTTACGAGTGGACGGAGAGCAGGCTATATTCAAGTTCTTTGATAAAGAAAATTCTCCACCTGAAGTTTAACTGGAAGATCAAGTCTACTATATTGGTGAAAAGAAAGGTGAAGAAGAGCACAGATTTAGCAAGTGTACTAGTCAAACAAGTAATAAAATGATGAGTAAAGATCGTTCCCACGAGAAATTGTGTCAAGCACTGACTAACCAAATGTTGTTAAGTTGAATCAACCAAAAGATTATAAATTGCATTTATTTCTCGTCACAAGAAATTTAGTTTGAATAAAATTAAAGAATTGATAAACAGATAAAGTGTGAATATAATTTAAAGCAAGTAGTCAGATGTCAATTTCTCTCAAGAATGAATTTATGGATGAATCAATTTCCATGATGAATATCTACTATGTGATGTTGATCAACCTTTTTCTTATCATCTCAAGATGTAATGTCTTACTACCCTGATACACACATTAATCAGAAACCCCAATGTCTTGGTGACCTCTTTCTTAATACATGCATTAATCACTAAGGTCTTAAGACCACATCAGAATCCTAGCATCAATGTCTTGACTACTAGAACACTAATAATGAAGTTGTCAAAAATAGAGAAACAATGTAAACATGTCTGTTCTACACTATTTATCAAAATGAAGAATTAATCAAGACAACTTCATACAATCACATAATAGATAAACAAAACATCTAATTAACCATTCATAAATTCAAACTTGAGTTCCATTGAATCAGACTACAAAGGACTCTACTCAGACATAATACAAATAATAACAAGAGAAGAAATATCAAACTCCATTTCCATGTAGTGAGTATTCAATCTCCAAGTACAATTACATAAGAAACTAACTAATACAAGAACTAAGTCCTAATGAATTTTGGAATTTATAGAGAGAAGTCAGATCAGAGGATCTGATATAGGAAAGAGAGATAGGAAATCAGAACTCTGACAATTGTGAAGGCCCTTGCCTTATATAGTGTTACAATTTAAAACTGAAAACTAACATGGGCGCTAAAACGTTCATGAATGGCCGTTTTAGCGTCCATGTTTGACGGATGCCCAACTGCTTTTAACTAACTTGAACGCTAAAACGTGCACAGTTGAACGTTTTAGCGTCCATGTCTGGTGAATGCTCAACTGCTTCCAACTGACTCCAACGCTAAAACACTTGGTTTGGACGTTTTAGCGTTGGAGACCAGAGTCTTTTTCCAACAGCAGGGCGCTAAAACATTTGATCAGGAAATTTTAGTGCCCAAGACCAGCAACTTCTTGTCCTTGGATTGCAGCAGCGCGCTAAAACGTTCTGTGTTGGACGTTTTAGCGCTCAGCACAACAAGTTTTGCCTTCAATTTGCAACAGCGCGCTAAAACGTTCTGTGTGGACGTTTTAGCGCTTAACACTTAGGCATTCTCCTTATCTCCAGAATCTTCTTCTTTCTTTCTGCTGCTCCTTAAGCTTCATTTCCTTACAAGACAATGTAAATTTTCAACAGAGCTTTCAGAACTTGTACTTGAGGGATTTCCAGGACATTAACCTCTTTTCCATCCAATTAATCACACAAATTGATACTAATTCATGCTGAAAAACCTGACGAACCAGGGGTTATCACAATTCCCAGATTTGGACATTGTTGTCCTCAGTAATGGTATACAGCAGAGAAAAATTCAAGATTCTTTACAACTGAAACTCATGAGGATGGACTTCAATTAACAACAGATCAAATTGATACAACTTACAACCATGCAATCTTTTATTCTTATGACTTGCCCAACATCATATGTGGCTTTTCAACAGATCAGTAAAGATGATATACAGAGACTTTCCTAACAACAACACCCCCTCACTAGGAACTTCTCAAAAATTGTGAGAATTTTACTCTCTTGCACACTAGTGTTTAAGGATGTACTTATCACTCACTCTTCACTGCACTCAAACTGCCATAAGCTTTCCCATCTTCTCACTATTCATAGTAACAATGATCCATAAGGTAGATCAAAAAGGTTTTGGTATGATTAGCAATGAGGCTTGGTGTGTGGCTTGACTAGAGGTAAGGATTTCTGTGAAAGGGGAAGTTCAGATCAAATGAATCAGATTCAGATAAGAGGGAATTCACAGTAATTAATCAATTTCTTCCTAATTCCTTTAACTTTCTTCCTTTTCATTCCTTGTTCTTTTCTTTGAACCTTTCTTCCTCCTTTTCTTCCTGAAACTTTGTGTCTTTAACAAAAAAAAATTCTTTTTCTTTCAGACACTTTGGGTCTTTAATATTTCCCTCTGTCTCTTCCAAACACTTTATGTTTCACAACCTTTTCTTTCTTTTCCTTCTTTCTTTCTTATGTTTCCAACACCTTGCATTCACTTATTGCAAAAACACTTTCCTCCCCACAGAACACTCCATCCCTTATCACTTATCTGAAACTTTTAATCTGAAGCATTGGAATAAATGTGGTTCTTAGCTTGATAGACAACAGGCTAGGCTCAAGTGTTTCATGCAATGGGAACTTAAAGGTTGGCCATTTGACTTCCTTGTTCAAAAAGTATATGCCTCTACCCTACACATCATCAACCATTTCAAGCAAGAAAAAAACGCAAGTTCTAGAGTTACTCATGCAATGAAGTGCTCTCTGAACAAAATTTTTTTTGTATAGGCTCAATTTCCTCACAGTTCAGAGTGCATGCTTGACTTTCTCTCTATGCATCAAAACTAATCTCTCTACTCTTACACATTGAATGAGTCATGCAATCATTTCATTTCTCAACATGCAAGGCATAAGATTGTATCCTTAATTTGATCAATAACCTAAAATTCTGATCAGTCAAATCCTCATGGAATTTCATATAAAAAACTGAATTCCAAATTCTAAACTACAACTAACATCTAAATTACACTAAAAACTTATTCACAAAGAAAAACTAAAGAAAAGAGATTGAGATGTTTCCCTGTTTTGGCTCATCTACTCGTGTGATATCTCCATGAATTCCGCATGCCATTCAATCACACCCCAATTCCCAGATTTAAACGTTGTTGTCCCCAGCAACAAATTTAAATCTAAACAGCAGTAGATCACTGAAACATATTCATATATCATTCAATAGCATCAGTACTATCAAAATGTGTATCAATCAAAACAGTGAATCTCAATGTTCTTAACCAATGTACAAAATAACCAAAATAACAAAATGTAGCTAAAGTAAACCATAATTAAACCATATAACAAAAAAAATGTAAAAACATCAGGAGACTAGTCAGTCTCTGACTCCTCCTCATCAGTGAAGAGAAGATCTGATCCTGGATCAGTAGCAGGCAACGGGTTATACTCATTATCAGCAACCCTGTCCTCATCCATGGCAGAAGTATCACCAACAATCTGATCATCAGCAGCAGTGGCATCTGTAGCTGTGGCATCAGCAGCAGTCCCTCAGTGGCCTGAGAAGCAGTAGCATCAGCAGGCTGCAGAAGTAGCAGCATCAGCAGCTCTCCCTATCAGCATCATCGTCATAATGGGTTCGGACAACTGCCTCAAATGCATCCTCTTCGTCGGAATGAGGGTAAACAGCAGGCTGGAATGCAGCTGGCTCTAAGCCCTGGGCCTCACAGAGATCTGTCAGCATCTTAATCATGTGAGTCTGAAATGAGTGCTAACTCGTCTGCATAAACTTCAGACGGCGGCGTAAATGCCCCATACGAATGTCAGTGTTGATCAGCCACTGCTCCCCTGATATTATCCTCTTTTCAAGCTCAGAATCTGCCTCAGCCATGGATTTCCTGCCAGGTGTCAGCCCTGTGGGTCCCTCTCCTCCAATCCTCAACTGTCCCTAATCAGCTTAGCATCAATGGTAGGGTGCAATTTTACTGGCACCTCATTATCAGTAACATCCACACCAGCTTTCTGGCAACGAAGCTGGATCAAAGAACAGTGACCCAAAGCATGTGATCTGCTATCAGAATGGGCCATGTCATATAAGCTATCCTGAAGAAGGATGGGAAGCTCCACTTTCCCTTTAGTCATAATAGTATGAATCAAGACAGCTCTCATCAGAATTACCTCCGCCTGGTTGGAGGAGGGCATAACATTTGAAACTACAAAATGGAACCAGACTCTAGCCTCCCCATTCGGTTGCCTCAACCAAAGCAATTTAGGATTCACCTTATCCTTGGTCATCTCCCATTTTTCACCGGGCTTGACAATGGTTTGCAATACAGGCTCAACTGCCCCCATTTTGGTCTAAGTCTCAAATTCTGGGTTGCTTCTCCTAGGAGGGATTTCTACCTTCTGCCAATTCCTCCTAAACTCACAACCGGTGTTATTAATGTAATCACAGTGCCTGATGTGCAGAAGCTTCTGAATAGTGTGGGCATCATATTTGACTTTCTTGCCCCTCACCCAGCTGGTGAAATGCCTCTTACCACCATCATCACCATTGTATGCATTAGCAAAGAATTCCCTTGCTATAGCTGGGCTGCTGTCCACCAGAATCTCACCAAAAGTTACCCAGTCCCTCTTTTCCAACTGGGACTGGAACTCAGGATACTCATCCTTTTCCAGGATGAACTTCCTCTCCCTAACAAACGGCCTGAAAGAGGTCTTGGTGGTGAAACGGACCTCGTGCTCAGCACTCTTCCAAAAATGGGCATCATATGTAGGTGGAGGTGGTGTAGGCTCAGAAGCCTGAGGTACCCTGGACCTTTTCTTTCCTGACTTCTTAGGTGGAGGTGTAGACATGATCCTGAAAATCAAAAGAATTAAGTCAGTATAGCATTTTAGAACATGGATCCAATTCCCAGATTTAGAATTGAAGTAGTGATGGAACTGGATCCAAATCATGCAAGTAAACACGCCCACAATGCCCAAAATCAGAACCCTCAATTATGTATGCAGCAGGGCCTGAGCGCTAAAACGTTCACACTGAGCGTTTTAGCGTTCTGGCCTTAAACGTGTTTGAAACTGGCCGAGCGCTAAAACGTTGGGTGACCAGCGTTTTAGCGTCCAGGCTTTTCTGGGTCAGGCATTCTGTCGAACACCTTGTGTGTGTCTGTGCATATGGCATATTGTGTA